GGGAGGTCCAGAGGACACGGGGCCTGGGGAGGACAGAGCTCCTGCCAGCTGAGAATCCCCTCCCCAGCTCCCTCCGGAGGGAGCACACTGGGGTAAGCAGCCCCTCACCAGGTCACCCTCTGTCCCAGGTGTGCTGGCTGTCCCCCGAGCAGACGGCAGGGAAGCAGAAGCCCTACATGTACACACAGGGCCAGGCTGTCCTCAACAGGTCCTTCTTCCCCTGCTTTGACACCCCCTCGGTCAAGTTCACCTACTCAGCCACTGTGAAGGTAAGCAGAACTCCAGAGCTGTCCTGGCTGTTCCCTCACACCCAGTGGGTGCGAAACCCTCCATGAGTTTGCAAAGTTTGCTGGTGGGGAAGAGAGTCCAGAGGAGGCCACAGAGATGCTACAAGGGCTGGAGCACCTCTGCTCTGGAGCCAGGCTGGGAGAGCTGGGGGTGTTCACCCTGGAGAGGAGAAAGCTCCAGGGAGACCTTAGCACCAGAGCTGTCCTGGCTGTTCCCTCACACCCAGTGGGTGCGAAACCCTCCATGAGTTTGCAAAGTTTGCTGGTGGGGAAGAGAGTCCAGAGGAGGCCACAGAGATGCTACAAGGGCTGGAGCACCTCTGCTCTGGAGCCAGGCTGGGAGAGCTGGGGGTGTTCACCCTGGAGAGGAGAAAGCTCCAGGGAGACCTTAGCACCTCTTCCAGGGCCTAAAAGGGCTCCAGGAGAGCTGGAAAGGGACTTTGGACAAGGCCTGGAGGAACAGGACAAGGGGGAATGACTTCTCACTGCCAGAGGGCAGGGACAGATGGGATATTGGGAAGGAATCCTTCCCTGTGAGCGTGGTGAGGCACAGGTTGCCCAGAGCAGCTGTGGCTGCTCCATCCCTCTTTAAATGCAGACAGGCAGACCCCGGGGGTGCTGCTGCCTCTCCCCAGCTGCAGTCTGGGCTCTGCAGTGCCATCCATCCTGCCCAGGGCTCTTCTCCCCCAGTGAGATGTGGCTGAAACACTCAGTGCTGATGCCAAAATATCACTGAGTTATTGGAATCAACTCTCTGTTTGACCTCTCTGCTCTCCTGATGCCAAACCCCCTATTTTTGCCCTGTAGCACCCAAGGACAGCAGGATGCTCACTCTTGGTGTGTGTGTAGCAGCCCCAGGGTGATTGGGTGAGCTGGGTCTGGGGAAACACAGCTGGAGGAGGGAGGTGATGCCAGGCTGTGACAGGTCCTGGTGGTGGTGCTGGGGTTGTCCAGCTTCCAGGTTGGAAGGAGCAGCTGCTGGTCCCCAAAGACAGGGCTGAATAATCCGAATTCCCTCCCTGCCTGTGGGCAGGCACATATTGACACTGGCACTGGACTGCCCCGGTGTGCCAGCCTGCCATGGGCAAGGGAAGCTGCTCACCAGTGTGACACCAAGACAGTGCCCATGGCACCAGCTGGTGATTCTGGAACTGATTTATTTTGCTTCTTGCTCTAATTTCTCCACTTAAAACTTCAGCACAGCACATCCCTGGCCCCCACGGGGTGAGCTGTCACAGAGCCCTGGCGTGATGCTCTGTACCAAGAAAACCGTATTCAATGGGGCTTACCCCATGTCTGGGATAGGGAACACTGGATCAGGCTCCCTGGGCACAGCTCAGGCAGGTGGATCAGCCATGGAACGGGAAAAACCAGTTGTACAAGAACTGGGAGGGAAGCCAATGCTGAGGTATCCTCATCCTCTGCCCTTCCACACCTGCAACTCCAGCATTTCCTTATCTCCTGGCACCTTGTGGGGCAGCTCCAGGTGTCCTGGTGTTGCACCCAGCCAGTGTTTGAGCCCAAGTGCCAAGCGATGCTGTCTCAGGGACTCAGGTGGGATCCCAGATGGGAGCTCAGGGTGTTACTGCTGTGCTCTGCTTCCCAGACCCTGCCGTGCCCACGGGCTTGGCACCTTCAGGGCTGGGACATGTTTGCCATCAGACTTTGCAGCATCCTGACTGGGTTAGCTAACATCCCACTGTCTGTGTTACAGATCTAATGGATGTTTTTATCCACGTGTCCAGGTCCCTGAGGGCTTCATGGCTGTGATGAGTGCCACGAGCTGGGAAAAGCAGAAGGATAACACCTTTGTCTTCAAGATGTCCCAGCCAATCCCCTCCTACCTGGTTGCCCTGGTCGTTGGGGACATTGTGTCTGCTGATGTTGGCCCGAGGTAAGGGACTTGGGAGGAGAACCCAGAGCTAGCCCTGGCTGTGGGAGCTGCACAGTGAAGCTCCCATGGCAGCTGCATCCTGCCTCTCCCTGCCTCGTGGGGCTCTGGAAAGTGGAGACATTGGCTGTAAGCATGACTCAGTCAGTCCCTGTCTGTGTCACCAGACCACTGCCAGGCTCCTTCTTGCTCTGAAGGTGAGGAGGAGCCTTGGTGCCATGTCCCCTTACCTTTGGGGGTGTGCCTGGCTCTGCTCTCTCACGCTGCATATGAGTGAGGGCAGCAGGTCCCCATGCACGGAGCGTCCCACGTCCCCTCCCAAGGCTGCTGGTGTTTCGAGTCCCTGGCTGCTACTGCAGCCATATAAAAGCCCTTTGGCATTCAGATGAGGAAAGAAATCCCATCAGTTTGCACTATCAGCCTCATTAGCTGCCTTTATCAGCAGGTTTTGATTTTTCTGTGGAAAAAAACCATGCAGTTTCTGTCTGATGAAGCAACAGGGTGAAAGTCCTCTAATGGTTAAACTTCCTCTTCTCTTTGCTTGGCCAGGAGCCGTGTCTGGGCTGAGCCCTGCCTGATCGAGGCTGCCAAGAAGGAGTACGATGGAGTGATTGAGGAGTTCCTGACAGTTGGAGAGAAACTCTTTGGACCTTATGTTTGGGGCAGGTATGGCCAGAAGGTTCCCGAAGGACTGGGTTCCCTGAGGCTGGGGAGGGAGTGTCCCTCGGTCCCCAGCCCTGACTGCAGGAGGAGGAGGTCTGAGCCAAGCCTTCCCCGGCAGGTATGACATCCTGTTCATGCCTCCCTCCTTCCCCTTCGGCGGGATGGAGAACCCCTGTCTCACCTTCGTGACGCCGTGCCTGCTGGCCGGGGACCGCTCGCTGGTGGACGTCATCATCCACGAGATCTCCCACAGCTGGTTCGGTAACCTGGTCACCAACGCCACGTGGGGAGAGTTCTGGCTCAACGAGGGCTTCACCATGTACGCCCAGAGGCGCATCTCCACCGAGGTCTATGGTGCGTGGCCCTGCCTGGCTGGGGGGTGCTGAGCCCCTGTGTGGGTGCCGAGCCCTGCTGGGTCTGTCCCTCTGTGTGCTCTGTGCAGGGCTGGAGCCTGTGCTGCATCTCCGAGGAGATGAAGGGCAGCAGCTGCAGTGCCCCAGGGGGTTCTCTAAACTGAAAAAGAGTAGGTGTCAATGGGACATGGGGAAGGAATTCTTCCCTCTGAGGGTGCTGAGACACTGGAACAGGTTGCCCAGAGAAGCTGTGGCTGCTCCATCCCTGGGAGTGTTCCAGGCCAGGCTGGACAGGGCTTGGAGCAACCTGGGCTGGTGGGAGGTGCCCCTGCCCGTGGCAGGGAGTGGGATGAGATGAGTTTTAAGGTCCCTTCCAACCTATTCTGTGATTTCTGGTGGCAGCAGAATCTCCTTCGCTCTGTTAGTTGGATGCCCCATAGCCCCTGCCACAGATGTGGGTGCAGTGAGCTTGCCCAGCCTCACCTTCCTCTTCCTCCCACAGCTCCCTCAGGGAGCCCATACCGGCTGCCCTGAGCTCCCCCATGGACACACAGTCCTGTTCAGCATCTCAGGCTCTCCCAGTGCCATTTGCTGCATCCAGATGAATTTAAGTGGCTCTGAAAGCCTGGCTTTAAGATTGCTCCATGCCTCTGCAGCTCTGCCATCCCAACGCCTTGGTTATTGGTTTCCTCCTCTCCCAGCTCATACACTGATGCAGTTTCCCTCCTGTCCCAGGGTCTGGTCAGGGTCCCTGAACACCTCCTGCTTGTCTCTGCCCAGGTGCAGCATACACCTGCCTGGAGGCTGCCACGGGAAGGGCCCTCCTGCGCCAGCACATGGATGCAACGGGGGAGGACCATCCGCTCAACAAGCTGCGGGTGGTGATCGAGCCAGGTCTGTGGGGCATCCCTGGCTGGGCAGTGGGGCAGTGAGAGCTGGGGCAGGGAGCCCTGCTGCTGGGGTGTTTGGCAGCGCAGCTGGTGGGACCTGGGTGAGGTGGTGGCTGCAGGAGGGCTGGGACGGGCTGCAGCAGCACAGAAGGGGCAGTCTCAGTGCGTGTGAGGGCTGTGGTGTTTTGCAGGTGGCAGAGAATTTGTGAGGCTTTTCCCTTTCTCTAGGTATCAATCCAGATGACACATACAATGAAACACCCTATGAGAAGGGATACTGCTTCGTCAGTTACTTGGCCCATCTCGTGGGGAACCAGAGCAAGTTCGATGCCTTCCTCCAGGTGGGTACAAGGAGGTACCAGGTGGAGGTGCAAAGTCATCCAAAACCCCATGGTGGGAGGCCAGAGCACAGCAGGACCCTGGGAAGGACAGGCTGAGCAGGGTGGCTGGGGAGAGGAAGAGGAGGTAGAAATTGGAGATGTTCACAAGGGAGTAAGATGAAGGCAGAGCTTGGCTTCATGCTGGCAGCAGGTGGTGGGAATGCTGAGGGGTGTCCTGGGGGATGCAGGGGGCTCGACAGCCCCTGGGAGGAATAGGGACTGGAATGGGCTCAGCAGCACTACTCCCCCCTGAGATGGAACACTAGGAGGATGGGATTCCCTGGCAGGGTGAGTGTCTGTGGCATCTCCCCCGTCTGTCCCTGCAGGCCTACGTGAACCAGTTCAAGTTCCAGAGCATCACCGCGGACGACACCCTCGGGTTCTTCCTGGAGTACTTCCCGGAGCTGAAGGAGAAAGGCGTGGACTCCATCCCAGGTCAGCATGGTGCTATCCTGGCCAGGGAACTGGGGTGCCACTTTGCAGACCAGCACCCACGTGTGTCGGATCCACCTGTACCCCCTGTGGGTCCTGTGCACATTGGCCTGTGCCTTGCACTGGAGCCACTGTTGGCCCTGGCTCCAACGCAGGAGGCACTAACCCAGGCTTGGGCACATGCCAGCTCAGCCTGATGTTTTTTCCCCCACCCAAACCCAGTCTCTGCTCTGCACTTAAATGCTGTTTCTTTGGGTTTCATGGGTTCATCATGTTTTGTGACTCAGCCTAGTGAGTCTGGTGAGCGCTGGGATCAGGCTCAGCCAGTGCCCCAGGCTTGGCCCTGCCTTGGTGGAGATCAGGCTTGGCAAGAGCTTTCCATGCTGGGACTGGCTCATCACGCTGGCAGCAGTGGGGCTGATACCCACAAGCACACCCTGAGGCCAGGGTGGCTGAACACATTAGTCTCTGGTGGTCACTGTCCTTGGGCAGGTTTGCTGGTGCTGGGGATGCCCTGGGAGAAGGCAGTGGTGGGTCTAGGGCTCAGGGATCTGGTTCCAGCTCTCCCTCCCTCCTGGCTGCAGGGTTCGAGTTTAACCGCTGGCTGAACACGCCGGGCTGGCCGCCCTACCTGCCCGACCTCTCTCCGGGGCAGCAGCTGATGAAACCAGCAGATGCCCTGGCAGAGCTCTGGGCAGCTGATAGCTTGAACATGGAGGCAGTCGAAGCTGTGGACATCACGGGCTGGAGGACATACCAGCTGGTCTACTTCTTGGATCAGATCCTGCAGAAATCCCCCCTGCCTGAAGGTGAGGGCCAGGTCACTGTCAGGGCTCTGGAGCCCAGAGGAGACACAGGGTGACATGCCCCAGTTGGCTGGGGACATGAGAACACATCAGTGGGACATGTAGGGTTGTGGGTTGGTGTGGTGGGGGATGGAGCTATAGGGTAAGTGTCCCTGGATGTATGGGGACATAGGCAGGGGCAGGGAGGAGCCCTGTTCCCAGCCTAGCTTGGCTGGGCTGTCACCTCCCCATGTCACCTCATCTCTCCTCAGCCATTCCAGGCTGCTCCCCAAGCCCCTGGCACATGGCTCTGCAGGGCTGTCCAGCCGGGGAGGCCCAACATGGGCACACACCTGCCTGGAGCCAGTGAGTGCTTGGAGTGCTCCAGAGCAGGAGGTGCTGAGAGGCTCAGGGAAGGTCCAGGGCCAGCCTGAGGCTGGGAGGATCCCAGAGGATTTACAGCACAGCTGGGATGGGCTCACAGGGCTCCCTGGGAGCTGGGGCAGAGTCCCATGGGGATGGTGATCACACTCCTCTCACAGGCAATGTGGAAAGGCTGAGCAAGATGTACCCCAAGATCTCCAAGGCTCAGAATGCTGAGCTGCGACTGCGCTGGTGCCAGATCATCCTCAAGAACAACCTGGAGGCTGAGTTCAGCAAAGTCAAGGAATTCCTGCACAGCCAGGTTTGTCAGTGGGGAGAGATGGCATGTGGCACAGGGTCTTCTGTGCCAGAGGGCCAGGAGTTGGCTCTTGCTCTTTGTAGTCCCACAAGATGGTTTGGGTTGGGAGGGACCTTAAAGGTCATCCAGTTCTACCCCGTGCCATGGGCAGGGACACCTTCCACCAGCCCAGGTTGCTCCAAGTCCTGTCCACCCTGGCCTGGAACACTCCCAGGGATGGAGCAGACACAGCTGCTCTGGGCAACCTGTGCCAGTGCCTCAACATCCTCACCGGGACTAATTCCTTCCCAGAATCCCATCTATCCCTGCCCTTTGGCAGTGGGAAGCCATTCCCCCTTGTCCTGTCCCTCCAGGCCTTGTCCCAGGTCCCTCTGCAGCTCTCTTGGAGCCCCTTCAGGTAGTGGAAGGGGCTCTAAGGTTCTCCCCAGAGCCTTCTGTTCTCAGAGCATCTCTGTGGCCTCCTCTGAACCTGCTCTGACAGGTCCATATGTGTCTTGGAGACCTTAGACCTAGCCACAGTGCTCTGGGCTAGGGTCTTATGGGAGGGGCAGAATGCCCCGTCACCTGCTGCCAGTGCTGTTGGGGATGAGCCCAGGACACAGTTAACTTTCCAGGTGGTGAGCACACATGGCTAGGGCATGTCCAGTTTGTCACCTACCAAGTCCTCTCCCTCCCTCCCTCCCTCTTGTACTGATGGTGAGGATTGCCCTGACCCAGGTGCAGGACTCTGCACTTGGCCTTTTTGAACTTGATGAACTTCTCAGGGCCTGCTCCTTCTCCAAGGTCAAGGTGTTCTCCCTTTTCCAGGGTGCCACAGTGCCAAAGGCTGCCCATGGCAGCATTCCCCACCCTGTCCCATTCCTGTGCACTCTCCCTGGCCAAGAGCAGGACAGTGCTGGGGTGGAGGGATGTGGGGCTCCACCCGCTGGAGCAGGGGAGGAGTTTAAGGTGTAACCCCCCTCTGTCTCCGCAGGGGAAGCAGAAGTACACTCTGCCCCTGTACCGCTCCATGTGGGGTGGGTCGGAGGCCACCCGGGCCCTGGCCATGGAGACCTTCTCTGCTACGGCCCCTCAGCTCCACGTCAACGTCCAGAACTACGTCAAGAAGATCCTGGGCTTGGAGGTGGCAGAGGCCTAAGGCAGGCTGGGCTCTGCTCCCTCCTCCAGCATTTCTGCTGGCTCAGTGCCTCCCTCTCACTGCACATTTCCTAATTAAAATGTGTAATTTTTAATCCATTTGTGCTGTTCTTGCTCCTTGTGAGCCATGGGCTGCCTTAGCATGACTCCCTGTTCCTCTGCCATGGGATCCAGGCTGGTGCCCCAGGAGAGGACACACCAGCCCTGCTGTGCACACTGTGCTGTGCAGGGCACTCTGGGAGCCTGGTGGCTTCTGGTGCTGGCACGGGAGGGATGGGCCTGGCATTAGTGCCTGCAGAGCTGGAGCAGCTGAGGATCCACACAGATCCTTGCTGAGCTCCTGCCAAGCTGTCACAGGTCCCACGTGGCAGTGGGGACAAGGGGAGCTGGTGCAGGGTGGCAAAACTGGGACCTGCTGGGATAAACCCTGGAGTGTGGACAACAGTGCAAGTAAGGCATGGCCTGAAGGCTTTAAAGAGCCACTGCATGTCAGAGACTGTAGGAAGAGACAAAGCTGGACAGCCATGCTGCTCCTTAGTTCTGACCAAACACAGGGATATGAGCACCCGCCCAAGAATTCCAGTACAAAACTGGCCAATGCTACACAAACACCAGTAACCCGGGAGCCTGCTGACCATAAGGGGCCCCAAGGTGACAAGAACAAGAACACCCACCTGGCCTGGGAAGCTCACGTGAACCCCACAGTGTGTGCTGGCCCCTACACCATCCTGGAGCAAATCCCAGTGGGCCACAAGTTTTCAAACACTACCTCTCTGAGCCAGCACTGCAGTCACTAGAGCCAGGACTGAGCCCAAACCACCCCCAAAGCCAAGAGGCCTGCAGGGCCCAGCTCAGAGGCTGTGCAGCTGTGCATTTCCTCAGGAGTGAGCTCTGGTCCCTAAATAGCTTTGAGAAACTGGAGTCCAGGGGGCTGGTTATGGCATGGTTGAAACCAGCCAGTCCAGCCTCACTGAGAGAATAAGGCTTCCCTGGGCAATGGGTGTCCTCTAGTGGATCAGCATTGCTGGAAATAACTTGTAGTGCTGTTCCAAGTTGCAGGGTAGAACTTTTCTCCAGCTGCGGATCTGGTTTCCCAGGGAACACCACAGCCTGTCAGCACAATTAACATGACCTCTGATAAGAGACTTCACTCCCTGTGAGGCATCTGGAAACAATCCTTGTGGTTTAAAAGGTGCCCTTGGCTCTCAGCAGCATGTGTCACCTCTGGTCTGAGGCACCTGAGCGAGGCACCAGGGAGACAGACCGGGTGGTCCCTGAAGCAATTCCCGTGGATTAAGGACAACCTGCAATGCCCTGGGCACACCGGAGCACACGCTGGAGAGGAGCTCACAGCTGGTCCTGCTCCGGGAACACCCCACGGCCTGAACCAAATCCCTGGCTGCAAGCGTGGGAAGGCAGGGGCTGGAGCTGTGTGTCCCGGGAGGGATCCTGCTCCAGCCACGCAGGGAGCAGCCCCTGCCGCGGGAGGCAGGACAAGGCTGTGCTGTCCCTCCCGGGGCTGCCCCGGGCAGGGCTGGGACGGTGGCACCAGAGGCACTTCAACACCAGATCTCTGGCACTCCCCAAGCATCATCCAGCAGTGGGGAGAGGTGAAGCTCCTCTCGTCTCCTCTCCATGGGAAGCATCCGGCAGGAGCTGGGGGCTGCACAGGGAGGGAACAGCAGCTGCTCCTGCACAGGCTGGGAAGGGCACTCTGCCTTCACTCACCTTCCTGCAAAGGCAATGGCTCACAGAGACACTTCAGTACAAAATTAGTAACAAGATGTAGCACAGACTTATTTTTAACAACTTGACCTTCATCAAGCCCGGAACATTTTTTGCTTAATTTTTTTCCAAAATGAACGCCAAGTCAATCATGAAATGCCAGGAGAAGATGTTAATTCTTTATTAATAAACAGATTTAGAAAGGCTTAGCGAGACAGGATTAATGGATTTGGTGGTCAGAAAGGACTGCTGTAATCTTCCAGTCTGACCTGCTGCAGAGCACAGGTCTGGATTCCCACAGCCCACCAATCCAGGCAGTTGCAAAGGGGCTTATCTGTTAATCCACACCACTGGAAAGTCACTACACTGTGGTCAGAGCCAACCTCCCTGCGAGCACCACGTGCTCTGCTCCCACTTTCATTCTGTCTCACTTCCCCTGGCAGCCCCAGGCTGGGTCAGCTGAAGCTCTTTAAATAGTATTCTTTAAATATTGTGTTTCAAAGGATTAGTGACTCTCTTACTCATGACTGCTTGACTTTACAGCATGAAAGTCATAATGGGCTTGATTATGCACTTAGTAACTCCCCACACCACGTGGAATGGATTCACTCCTGCAATGGTTTCAGTTCTCTGTTTGGGTAACAGACCAAACCCTCCACAGAGGAACAACCCCACAGACAGCAGCTCGCTGTCCCTGCTCCTCCAGGCCTGCTGCAGTCTGCAGGCACTGAGCAGCTCAGGCTGGCAGGGTCAGCCAGGGGGGCAGCCCCAAAGTGCCAGTGTGTGAGAGGAAGGAAGGAGAAGTTGGGTTACCAAGGCACGTCATATGTCTGCGCCCAGCTCCGCGCACTGCTTGTCTGAGATGTGGGTAGCTAAGGACTCTATGATGTCAAGGAGGAGGAGCTGACTGAGGGAGCGGAGGTTTGGCAACTTGGAGACCTTCAAGGAAAAGAAAAAACAGAACAGAAAGAAAAAACAGAAAGAAATTAAACCTTCCTCAAAGCACAGCTGCTGTATCACCCTCTCACCCCCTGCCACCCTGCGGGAGGGTCAGGCGAGTCAGGCTGGGCACGGACGGTGTGAGATCCCAGTCTGGAGCTGAGCTGCAGGGAATGGACCACAGGGCTCCAGTCAGGGCTTAGAGCCCAAACTCAGACTGCTGCAT